TGGGGCGGGTGGGGAGGGTTTCGGCAGCCGGGGGCTGCGAAAGGGGGGCACGAGCTCTTGGTGAACAGCGAGCCTCCAGCCGCAGAGGCTCCAGCCCCTCCGAGATGGCACCGGGTACGCGCCGGCACCTCTTAAGGCCAGGTATGGGTAGGAGGTCTCAGGCTATTCCATATCGAGGCCTGATAACATCTGGAACAAGAGCTGAACTTTAAAAAGCAAGAAAAACTCGTTGTCATGGATTGTATCCTTCCCATTGTTTCTCACTGGAGTTCTCATTACAATTCAGCAGGGAGAGGCGATTCTGCAGGAAATAAATTTATATCCCAACTGGATTGTGAATGACCATAAATACAACTATTCTTTGCCATGGAAACAGATAGTACTTGACAAGTGGAAAATCTATGCTGAGGATTTATAGGTCAGCGCGCTAAACGCTGCTAAGCGCTGGGAGACTCCACAGGATGAAGAGCTATGCCTGGGTGAGGCGGGACGAGGGACAACGGGCGCAGGAGGCTGCGGCTGAATGGAGAATCGTCACCTCTCAGCCTGCGTACTCGGCACGGCCACAGCCGCTCTGCCCGCAGGACTCACCCCACGGCCAGCTTACCATGAAGCACCACACTGCCAACGCTGGAGGCTTCAACTCACCCGCTTGCCTCTGCACCCGACCAGAAAGACAAAGCCTGACATCAGCTTAGGCTTAGTTTCCTTCCTTCCCAGATCTGGGGAGGAAAGGGCTGTGAAGCAGCTACGGCAGAGCAGCCAGGGAGAAGCTGTTGGCTCAGTGGCATCGCGCTACCGCTCCCACGGACGTGCGGGACGTTGCAGGGCTGCCGAGACGCCTGCTCGAGAGTCCTCCACCGCAAGAAAGCGGCGCAGAGGAGGCTGTGGGACTGCTGTCGCTCAGGTATGCACGGGAGCTACAGCTGAGGCTGCACAGCGCGGAACAACCCAGCGCCACGCCAGAAAGGCACTTGAGGAAACGCCCGATTGCTAACCAGGCACGGCTCTGTGCGGGCTCGGGCCTTGACTTGTCCCCGGGTTCCAGAGGCAGTCTGCAAAGAGCTGGGAATCCAGTGTCCAGCCTCCCTCCAGTCACTGTCTTAAGCTCATGCCTCTTCATTTCTCCTCTCTGCCTTGCTTTATCTGCACGACCCAGCAGCCTAAATGCCAGAGAACGGTGAAGAAGGGCACAAAGCAAGAGGGGAAAAAAGAAAAAGCTCTCAGGAGGAGGGGTGCAGAGCCCACGTGTCAGCGCCTGGCAGCCCCTTCTACCTGCAGCTCTAGCACAGGCTCTGGCAGAGAGGGCTCTGCTTCAAACTCCTTGCAAGGAAACCCTGCCCGGGAGCTTGACGGGGAAAATTCCCACGTTAAACCCACGCCGCTTGGCACATCCTACTCCTCTCCAGCCCCCTCAGCGCTCACAGCCCTGGGCAGGCTGCCCGGCCCCACGCGTACCTCCGGGATGTGATGGCTGAGGCAGTAGCGCCTGTTGCAGTGGAGGCAAAGCTGTCCCAGGGTCGTCACGCTGGCTTTGCAGCGGGGGAAGCCGCAGGTGTTGTCAGCTTTAATGGCCGCAGAGATCAGAGCGTCGATATCTTCTTCTGCCACGCTGTCTGCTCCGCTCTTAGCTGCCGGCTTTCCTGGGGAGAAGACGGGGAAGAGAGCCGGCCACGTACCCACCTGCCTAGCAGTGCAGAACAAAGCCAAGCAACCCGCAGCTACGGCCCCGGCTCGCGAGAAGCAGCACGGGCCCAGGGACTCGCCGCTTTTGAACTCTGGCCCGTGTTCAAAGGCACTAGTGGGAGCTCAAGGCTCCCACCCGCAGCGCGCCCGGGGCTGGGGAGGAGGAAGGGACCGTGTCTGGCAGGGAGGAGGGCAGCTCCCGGCTCTGTTTTCCCCTGCCTCCACGTTTAGGAGGCAGCCACATCCTTCGATGCGGGCCAGGTACCTCTCTCAGTTCCTCTCCCTCCATTTGGGAGCCTCCAAGCTAACTCCTGAGCCTTTCTTCCTGAGAAAGGGTCCCCAGTGGTTCGGGGTTTTTTTTGAACTTCAGAAATGTGCCTCCAAGCATCCAAAACCCCTCTCCCCCAGACGCTGCAGCCAACTGATGCACGCCCCTGCCAGTTCTCACATCTCTGCAGTGACGAGCATCAGAGAGCTTTCCAAGAGCCACATCCCATGCTCCACGCACACAGACAGATCCCAAGGCCTGGAGGCAAACCCACGGAGATTAAGTAGCACGGTCCATTCAAGGAAGACCATTAATTGCGCTGGTTACAAAGAGAGCGACCCACCTTTGGCTTCGCTTTTGTCTTTTTTCCTGCTGCTGCCCTGAAGGCCGGCACCGGGCTCCTCAGCCCTCCTTGCTGCCTCCTCCCGTCTGGCTTTCTCCCTCTGAACTCTCTCCAGGTGCAGGGTTTTCAGGTCCACTTTCCCTGAGCCCTCGCTGCTTCCTCCTGGCTCGGCGAGGACGGGAGTTTCCCCGCTGGGGTGTTGTGGCTGGGGAAGGGGGAGCCGCTTGCTGCGGGGGGCGGCTGCGGGGAGCGAGGGCTCGGCAGGCTCTTTCTTGCGAACGCTGAGGTACCGATCCCTCCCTTCCCCGGTGCTCACGTGCTGCAGCCCGTACTCCTCCGCCATGAGGTGAACCAGCATCCGATCGTGAGAATTGAGGGACGGGGGGAAATCCAACTGCGTCTCGCCGCTCTCCAGGAAGGCCACCAGCATGGCCTTGAATCGGTCGGTACCGTCTTTTGTCCCCGGGCTCTCTCTCCCAGGCCCACTCGTGTTCGGGGAGGAACGCGCTTCTTGTTTCTGACACTGCGGTTTGGTTCCTGCTGCTTTGAGTTTCCTCCCCGGAGGTGGCTGCGGTTTGGGGCCAGATGCCGTGGGGAGCTTTGCACGCT